GGGGGCGTGGTGGCGTTTCTGAATGACCTGAATGTGAAGCCCAAGTCCTCTGAGCTGGAAGAGGAGGCGCCGTTTGGGGCGCCGCTAGATACGCCATTGGAGACGCTCGAGGTGCCGTGGGAGACGCCCGAGGACCCGTCGGCGATTGCGTTGACGGTCGGACCCACGGCTCGTGTTGTGACGATGTATCACCTGCGGAACTTGTTGGAGCCTGTGATTCAACAGGACGGACGGCCTGAGGAAGTTGTCCGGAACATCCAATGTTTGTGCGCAGAGGCGTTGAGGGCGGAGTGCCATCCAGGACCATTTTACCTTCGGCGAGTGGTTGAGGAGTACGAGCAGTGGACACACACCGGCATTTCGGAGGTACGGGAGTGGCTTGAGTCCGACGTTCCTGCCGAAGACAAAGTCAGGTGGCTGAATGAGGCCTACTCGTGGTTGGCTTGCGAGGCGATTCCCCCGGGGACGTCCGACGGCCGGATTCCGAGACACATCTTCCCTGCCACTGACGGTTCCTGTCGCGCCATGCGCTCTGCGCCAGCCCTTGCGCGCTGGGCGCACTACCTGCATATTGCGCCAACCGTGACTCCACTACAACGCCTCAAGACCCTCCTCGTATTGTCCCGCTGGAATCCCAGCCAGGCTTGCCAGGCTGCCAGTCAAGTCCATATGACGATGTGCGTTCCCGAGCAAATTCTGTCCTCCATAGAGCTTCTCAACCAAAGGCTGGCAATTGCAGACGATGAACTGCGAGAAATCGCGGCGGTCGCTTTTTACGATACCGAAGCTGCTGCCAAGCTCGAAGCCGAAGCTGCAGCAACACCTGAAAGCGGAGCCACGGGTGCGACTCACGCGGTTGGGGGTGGTGCTCCGACCCCGCTTGCGGGTGTGCCCGAGGGCGCGGGCGAGGTAGACGAAGTGTTTGAGCAGACGGTGGCAGATGTGGCCGAATTCATTTCGACTATGAAAGAGTCTCTGAACACGTACTGGGGGGAGCTCTCTGCGGTTTCGGGTGCCAGGCGAAGAGACCTGATGGAGGAACGGATTAGGGAGAGAAGCTGCGGGCCAGCGTTCTGGCGGTGGATGGAGAAGCTGGCGATGGGTCGCTTTCAGAGTTTGCGGGGGCGTTACGGCGAAGCGTACGAACGCTGCCGTGACCGTTTGCTGGTGACGTACTTCGACAACGCGGCGGGGGCTGCTGACCCGGCTGACGAGTTCCGGGGTGGGGCGTTTCCGGTTGCAGAGTTTCCAGTGGGATCTGAAGTAAAAATCCGTTCGTTCGCGGACTACCGGAATCGTGACTTGCGCGACCGCGCGTGGATGGAGGAAGTACTTGTGCGCGGTCTGGTACACGTTCTGCGCACTGTGCAGGAACCCGCGGCGTTTGTGCTGAGACTCTTAGCGCACGAAACAACCACCTTTAGGCTCCCGATATTCCAGGTCTACGAAGCCTACGAGACCGCCGTGCTCGAACTCGTGCACCGAATCGCCTTCGAACAAGCCTACGAATACGCAACCCGCGCCGCCATGGTCATGCTGATGACACTCCATCGCTTCGCTGCAACCCCTGGACAACCCGACGAATTAATTCTCGCAGCGAGGTTGGGGGTTCATGACCGAGGGCGAGAACCAACCAACTAAGTGCTTTGGCTCGACCTGGCCTGGTGCCTTGACTGGCCGTAGACTGTTAGCCGAGCCGGTGCGGACAAATACGACCTGTACCCGAGAAATGTGACAAGCTGAAACAAACAGCTTCGGTCGGAACACCCGAATTATTATAGCCGGTGTTTTTTGTCGAACTTATTCATGCCAGCATGAGGTCTGTTGGATGTCGTTCGGTAGAGGCGGACTTGTGGATGGGGGGCGTGGTGGCGTTTCTGAATGACCTGAATGTGAAGCCCAAGTCCTCTGAGCTGGAAGAGGAGGCGCCGTTTGGGGCGCCGTTAGATACGCCATTGGAGACGCTCGAGATGCCGTGGGAGACGCCCGAGGACCCGCCGGCGATTACATTGACGGTCGGACCCACGGCTCGTGTTGTGACGATGCATCACCTGCGGAACTTGTTGGAGCCTGTGATTCAACAGGACGGACGGCCTGAGGAAGTTGTCCGGAACATCCAGTGTTTGTGCGCAGAGGCGTTGAGGGCGGAGTGCCATCCAGGACCATTTTACCTTCGGCGAGTGGTTGAGGAGTACGAGCAGTGGACACACACCGGCATTTCGGAGGTACGGGAATGGCTTGAGCCCGACGTTCCTGCCGAAGACAAAGTCAGGTGGCTGAATGAGGCC